GACTACTGAGGGAGTCACTGTAGAGCAAATTGTCTGATCTGATTCCTAGTTAATTAATACAGCTTTGATCTATGGAAGCAGGTAAGTGATCCCTTAACTTTATTGGCCGGTCCATTTGTGTTAGGGAAAAACATCTGTGAGATCGAATTAAAATGAAAATTTTCAAATTTAAAATATTTGTAAGCCCACTTATCATAACCTAAATTCTTTATTGTTTTCTCTAAAAGACAATATAATGGAATTGATTGATTCCTATCATCATATTTAAGTATGCCACACATTGGGGGGAAGAAGAGGAACATGATACTATTTTTAAAGGAAGACTTTTGAAAAGTGAGGAGTAAGATAGGGAGGAGAGGGGGCTAATATTTATTTAGCCATTAAAGTGAAGTGTGTGGACAGTTTACATCATGTGTAATCTAATTTAATCTCTCCACAAGTCTTTGTCAAGTTGATACCATTATCATGGTTTTATTGATGAGGAAACAGATCTAGAGAGGTTAAATAACTTAGAGACAAGCCAGGACTCAAAGCCTTTGTGCTTTACATAATGTAATAACACTTCTCCTCTACAATATAAAGAGTTAATACATTATGATTTATGACATTTATGTAATATTGTAATGTTATTTGAATTTTGGAAACTGTATTTGAAAAAGCCAATGCTTATCAGTATTTGTTTATAATATCCAGGTTAACCTCTCCAGCAGGTGTCAGAAAGTAGGTTAACCATTCATTTTTATTGTGTAGGTAACTAAGAGAGGTTGATATGTTAGTTGTTGATTTTAGATGAGCTTGAGCCAATTCATTTACTTACTGTTTAAGTTCCTTCATTTGGCACCTGAAGTGGGGAGTGAGGGAGGGTGTGAGAAAGGAGAAAGAAACTCACATTTATTCGGTGCCTATGTGCCAGATACTGTGGCTAGGGGTGGAAACAAGACTGTCAATTTGGTTTAACTTTAAAGCTCCTGCTCTTTCTACTATGCACCAAATGTGCTTTTTACTACAAGTGCGTAAATCAAATGTTAGTCTACTTCTGGCCAAGTAGTTACATATTGCTTTTTCTCTCAATGCTACTGGCTTACTTAACTTGGGCGTTTACTGGACAGTGCTAATAATTCTAAGAGTTGAGGTTACAAAACTGAAGAGCAGGAAATTTCTCATGGGGAAAATAGTTGTTCCCTAAACCCAGACAACTCTAAGTTTGTTTCAGAGCCCAGGAAAATGGGAAAAAATGATGAAGGATTCATACAAATATATCATCACTAATAGAAAATGAACTCAAATGTGTTAATTATATATTCTTTAAAGAAAGATTAAGGTATATGAGGTTCTCACTTAATGTCAGACATTATTTTTTTTTAAATGTTTTTTATTTTATTTATTTCTAGGAGAGAGAGAGAGACAGCGTGAGCAGGGGAGGGTCAGAGAGAGAGGGAGTCACAGACTGAAACAGGCTCCAGGCTCTGAGCTGGCAGTCAGCACAGAGCCCGACGCGGGGCCCGAACCCATGAACTGCGAGATCATGACCTAAGTGAAAGTCGGACGCTTAACTGACTAAGCCACCCAGGCGCCCCTAATGTCAGACATTATTATGCAAACCTGAAAAAAAATAAAGCACTCAAGAGTGAATCTTGTTCATGAAGTGACAGTTATACTTAAGTATCTCATGGGAAGGTTTGGAGTATGGAGACTATATGTAAATTGATTAGGAATCAAGATAACTGGATTCTTTTCTTTACTGCTGTTGACTAATGGGGTGATTTAATTTCTTCGTAGATTTTTGCCCAAGCAAGCGTATGTCTTGCCTAAATCATTGTAGAAAAAAATTTGAGATGAAACAATTATTGTGTATAAAGTTGCTTAAAACTATTCACATTAATTAATACCATTTATTGGGAATATATTATTTGGCGGTAGTAATATGGAACTGCTATTGAATATATAAGTTAGAATGCCCTAAATTATAAGTATGATATGGTAGAAAGAATTTAGAGTTGAGAGACAGATAGCCTTCTGTATGACTCTTGGCTCTGCCGTTTTCTAGCTATCTGCACTATGAGCTTCAACTTCTTTATCTGTAAGTTGAGAGCTTCATTAGTTATCAATTCTTGCAAAACAAAACAAAACAAAACAAAAAAGTCAACACAAACTTAGTGGCTTAACATAACACACACTTATTATCTCATAGTTTCTGTGGTTCAGGAAACTGGGCATGGCTTGGCTTTGTCCTTTGTTTCAGGATCTTTCATGATGCTGTAGTAAAGATGTTGGCAAGGACTCAGGTCACCAGAGAATGCCTGACTGGGGAGCCCACATTTAGTGGGCAGGATTCAGTTCTTCACAGGCTATTACATTGAGGGCCTAAGTTCTTTGCTCATGGTTATCTGAGGGCTGCTTTCAGTGGCTTGCCATGTGAGCTCCTCCATAAGTTAGCTTGCTTCATCAAAGCCAATAAGAGAGACAGTCTTCTAGAAAGATAGAATCTAGTCTACTAGAAAGTACGAATTGTCCATAATCTAATCATTGAAGTGATATTGATTCTCAACATTCTACTGGTAGGATAAAGTTACTCAAGGGAAGAGGTTTACACAAAAGTGGTATCAGGAGGCAGGATCTTTGGGACCATCTAACAGGCTGCCTGACATGGGGGTGATGATACCTACTTTATAAGATTGTTGTGATTATTAAAAGAAGTAACATATATTTAAGGTTCTCTTTATTTTTGGTCTGACCTTAAACTACCTTTCTAGATAATACCTGTTAGTCTTCTCCATAGGAATAAAACTTACTATTATTCCTAAAATGAATTTCTGTTTTTTTTCTTGCCATCTAGACTTTGCGCAATCTATTTCTTTAATTTGCAATGATTACCCCTATCAGTTTGACTTGTGAATTTGTGTTCATCTCCCAGGCTCTATCTCAAATACCACTTTTTAAATAAGATTTTCTTGTCCCATCCTTCTCTAACTCAGAGTCATTTCCCTCATTTAATCTCCTCTAACACGTTTTTGTAACTTTGTTATGACATGTCAGTCTGTCTTGAATTTTTTTCATTGTTGATTGGATTATGAACTCCCAAATGTCAAGGATTGTGTTACTCTATTATGTATCCCCATATTTTCATAACATTTTTTAAAAAGTTTATTTTGGGGGACGGGGTGGGCAGAAGGAGTCAGAAAGAGAGAGAGAAGGAAAGAGAGAATCCCAAGCAGGTTCCACCAACACACAGCCCAAAGAAGGGCTCGATCTCACAAACTCTGAGATCATGACCTGAGCCGAAATCAAGAGTTGGTTGTTTAAAATCAATGAGCCATCCAGGCACCCCTTTATAACATCATTTTAAAAATAGTAGAGCAATATTTGTTGATTAATGAATAAGTTTTTCCAAGATTCAGCAGTGTAATAACTTGTAGAGAGGATGGAAGGAGTTTTAAATGGTTGTGGTTGTTTTATATGTTTTAGTAACCAGTATTTCTGGCACCATAGGGAATGAAGTATTCTACACAAGTTAATTTTCCAATTAACTACAAATATCCTTTTATATGCATGAAGTGATTTTCTTTTAATCACTATTCATTTATTTACTCATTTTTTAAACCAATGAACACATAAACATTTATATATAATCCTATACACTAGGAATTTGGGATGAAAATCTTTCTAATACTTTTTGTGTACTTCTCTATACTAGTAGTATCCTATCTTAGTAAAAATAATTTATTCTTTTATTCCTTACTCAGTATTTTGAATATCAGATATTGAGCTCTAATACAGTCATATGCATAATAGGAACTGTTAAACTAATTAAGGACCATTTGCCTCTACCCCAGAGTGTATTACTTTGGTGTTCTACAACTAAGTTTTAGTTTTCTATTTTTCTTCACTTTTGTGCTGTTAGTGAGCTAGTTTCTTAGTCTCTTTGCTATTTTCTTCTTCTAGAGTATTATGTGCTAGGAAATCAGGTAGTCACATATGGGAGTGTTCTGTATAAAATGTAAATTCATAGACTGTGAGTGAGGGTGTGAGTCAAAAGGAGAGTGCATGAGATAGGACAGATATCTGTTGTGATACCTGAAATGAATTTTTAAAAATTCTTTTCTTTTCAGAAGATGACTTTTTTTCCTTCCAGTTCCCTTTTAGGTAGTTGGAATTGGCTCATATGTGTTGCTTTTTAAGTTATATAAGACTTCAGATAAAGTCACGGGTTGTAGTAAATATATTTCAAATTTTTAGAAATTTAGTTTGTGTTACGTGTCTGAGTGTTCATGGATAGCTGCTAAATACTGCTGTGTATTTGTAGATCTACTCTAAGAAAAATGATAAGTGCCTCATAAAGCAACAACAAATCAATCTCTGAATATGAGTGTGCTAAAAAAGCACAGTAAGGAATGGGATCATATACTGTTTATCACTGACATAAAATGAACTTTGATTGTGAAGTTCTTCTACCTTTTATTTTAAAAAAAGGAGGTTAGTCACTGTACACACACATTGTTTTTTTCTTCAAAGTTTAGAAAAAAAGATTTTTATGGTTCCACTTCACGTTCCTTCTTTGATTATTAGGTAGCTCTGGCACTGTTCTGCTTACCATTTAGGTTTCTAATTGTTTAGTCTTCTGAATGTTTATTTAGACTATAAAGAACAACAACAATCTAATTTAACTATATTAAATCATTTAGTAGTCTTTGTCCTTTTGCAAGCATTCAGCAATATAGTTCTGTCCATACAAGATATTTTTCATTTAACATAATTTTTTTTTGTTTTTCTAGGTTAAAAAATGGCCATACTATAGTAACTAATCAGCAAAAGCTTTGCTTATGAGAATTTTACCGTCATTATTTTTTCCATTTGGATTCACAAAATGAACTCAGATATAGAAGAAAGTACGAGATGTTGGAAAAAAGTATCTGTTAAGCAGTGGAACATCTAATAATTAATTTGCAAGAAATTTTAAAGAAAAAAGTTGTTATGCTTCGATTTTGGTATGGTATTGACTCTCTAGCACATAGGTAGCCCTCCAAAAAAAAAATCATCTAGTTTTCTAAATTATGGAAATTTTGTGGAAGACGTTGACCTGGATTTTGAGCCTCATCATGGCTTCATCGGAATGTCATAGTGACCACAGGCTTTCATACAGTTCTCAAGGTAGGAGTCCTGCTTTTGAAAGTGACAAAATTACTGCTGTTAATTTGATCAGAAAAGATTCTGAATATTTAGTTTAGGTGAACATTTTCTTCGGAATATATAATGATAGGAGTGGAGATCTACTGCATCAATTCAGTGCTAATTTCATAAATCTTAGAGGCTCTAAAAGTAGTCTGCTTATAACTTATGCTAGTATTTAACGTTCATTGGATTTTAGAGTTGACTGGTCTTGCTTAGGAGATAATAAAACCAGGCCTTTTCTTCTTTTGAATCCTAAACTTTAATAAGCTCATTTGTTGCTAGGAATTACAGACAAGGTTGTGTTCAAAAGAAAAATCCAAAGGTCTCTGCTATAAAAGAGCAAGAAACCAGACATATTCTGATACAAGATACGTCTGAAATGGACCCTTAGTGGAAAAATGCTTTCCAAACTGAAGAATTCTGATATGAGGACTAGAATCTCAGTAAAAGAGTACGAGTAGTAGGAAGTTCAACTTTTCAAACTCTAATCCATGGGTCCCTGATTTGAATCCATAAAATTGAACTTTATATCATAGAAAAGATCTTAACAGAGGTCTCAGGGGTGAATGACATTTTGTTTTTCATGGACACATCTGATCTTTTTTTTTAATATATATTTTTAATGTTTTATTTATTTCTGAGAGAGGGAGATAGATAGTGTGAGCAGGGGAGGGTCAGAGAGAGAGGGAGACACAGAATCCGAAAGAAGCTCCAGGCTCTGAGCTAGCTTTCAGCACAGAGCCTGACACGGGGCTTGAACCCATGAACCATGAGATCATGACCTGAGCTGAAGTTGGACACTTAACCACCCAGGCACCCCGTGGACACATTTAATCCTTTCTGAATTATTGAAAGAATGCCTTTTTAATTCCCCTTCCAAAAATCTTTAGGAACTGATAATTTTTTGGTTCAGATGAGCCAGATTTTCAAGGCTATTTTAGATTGATGTCTGTGTCTAGAAATCCTATATATATAAAATGTGGCTCTTAAAAGTATATTAATAAAGGCATAGCATTTATCATGAATTCTGACTTATAAGAAGTGAAAAAATATTGGCTTTCAGTTTATTTCTAGTTAGTCACAGTCTCATGGGAGTTTATATTGTTTCGAACTCCATGTATAGACAATGAGGCAATGGACAGACATTTGGTTTCCCTTTGTGGTAAACCTCACTAAAGAAAGATGTGATTAAGAAGGTATATTGGAGATATTAAGTAAACCTAAGTGAGGAAAATATATTTAATAATCCTCTAAGTTTCTTTTTGTCAATCTGATGATTTTAACAGCTTTACTGCAATACAATAAATACATAATTCACCTATTTAAAGTGCACAATTCAGTGGTTTATAGTATATTCACAGAGGCATACAACCAATTTTAGAATCAATCAATTTTACCGCAATCAATTTTAGAATGTTTTCAGCACCCCCAAAGAAACCCTGTACCCATTAACAGTCGTTCCCTAACTCTCTTCAAATCATTCTCCACCCCAGCCCTAAGAAACCTCTACTCTACTTCTGTCTCTAGAGATTTTCCTATTCTGAATACTTCATACAAAAGGAATCATATAATATGTGGCCTTTTGTGAATTGGTCCCTTTTACTTAGCTTAATGTTTTTAGAATGTTAGATAATGAACTTTGATAATAACGGCAGTTATTAAGTAGGTTCCTTCATGTCATACTATGTATCAGTACTGTGCAGAATAATATTCTATTTTGTGAATATACCCCATTTTACTTATTCATTCATCAGTTGATGAACAGTCAGGTTATTTCTCCCTTTTGGCTATTATGAATAATGCTGCTATGAACAGTCATGTACAGGTTTTTGTGTGGACATGTGTTTTCATTTCTCTTAGGTAAATACCTAGGAGTGGAATTGCTAGGTCAAATGGTAATTCCATGTTCAATTTTCTGAGTAGTTACCAGGCTTGTTTTCCAGAGTGGCTTCTGTATTTTCCAACTGATGATTAAAAAAAAAAAAAAAATTCTACAAGGCTGTAGAAACTCTTTTGGATAGCTTTCACAAACATTTTATCTGAGCTAAATCCTGTTCTTTTAAATATGTGTGCCTTTCACTGTTTTTTATTTCAATATAAAATATTCATATTTCCTGTAGAATTTAGCTTTTAGAATCCATTAAAAAATAAATAGGAAAAGAAAAATAGTCTTTCAAACTAATTTTAAAATTATGTTATTTTGAGGAATAAATGGACCTTAATTCATCATTAGATTTTAAACTCATCTTGTTTAATATAACAGTTTTTGTTCATACCTCTCACACATAATGATGCATAGTTTTAACTGATATAGTTTTTGTTGTTTATACTGCTACTTCTTTGTTCTGTTAAATTTTCTTTTCTTCCATGTGTTTTTTCTGGATTCTCTGCCTTGTGATTACAAAGAGGAATTCCTGACTTATCTAGAACACTACCAGCTAACTATTCCAATAAGAGTTGATCAAAATGGAGCTTTCCTCAGCTTTACTGTGAAAAATGATAAACACTCCAGGAGAAGACGGAGTATGGACCCTATCGATCCACAACAGGCAGTATCTAAGTTATTTTTCAAACTTTCAGCCTATGGCAGGCACTTTCACCTAAACTTGACCCTCAACACAGATTTTGTGTCCAAACATTTTACAGTAGAATATTGGGGGAAAGATGGACCCCAGTGGAAACATGATTTTTTAGACAACTGTCATTACACAGGATACTTGCAAGATCAACGTAGTACAACTAAAGTGGCTTTAAGCAACTGTATTGGGTTGGTAAGTAGATGTTATAACTTTTAGTTTCTGATGGGGAAATAAATTTACAATGTAAATGTCTTTCCTCAGATTAATAATATAGAGAGAGGTGGTTTAAGTAGGGAAAGTAACAGTCTAATTTGTTGTTGTTGTTGTTGTTTCTGCTGCCTTTGCTTTTTATAGTCTTTTTAGTAATGTTTGCATTGACCTTTCAAAGTCAGGACAATTTCTAAAACCCTCTATTATTTGTAAAATGAATTGAGTACATAGAAGTGTTAGGCTATATATATAAAACAGATTTTTTTCTGAATATGAATAAGTTATCCAAAATAAATCTGTTTTGAAACTTTTCATATATTAAAATGACACTTACTATTAAATATGGTAGAAAAATACTGTTCCTAGTCATCAACACTGCTCTCTATGTTTGGCATTAACACTAATTATACCACTGATAGTTTTAACAGCATGGTAAAATGAACCAATTTGAGATTTAGAAAAAAGACAAAACCAATTCCATTGTGAGACTTGCAGGCAGAGAGTGATGGGGATATGAAGGGGAGTTAGGGAATAGAGGAGATAATGAGGGTCCATGCAAGGACTGTGCCCCTCGGAATACACAGCAAAGAATGAATTTAAACCACATTTTGAAGAGAAAATGTAGAGGATTTGTGTCTTACTAATGTTTTCTTTGCATACATTATCATGGTTCCTAATAAGACATATAGTACATAGTAGGTATTTAATATGTTTAAACATTGAGATAGAATTGAACTGGGTGTGGGATGAAGGAGAGACAGTAATTGAAGATGGTGAGGCTTCTTTTTTGGATGACGAGTATATGAATTGTACTAGTTAAGAAAGGGAATACCACTGGAATGCTGGATTGGAGAGGAGTGTGATATAGTAAATGTGAGGAATCTGAAGAAATAGGGTTAAAGATGTCTAGATGACATTTGGGAAGTATATTTCTGAAATTTAGGAAAGAATTTAATCCTGGAAACAAGTAATTTGAGTGTCATTAACTGACTCTGAAATTGTGAAAGATGTTGCTTGATAAATCAAAAGGGAGGATAAAGTTGAAAATAGAAATTCTTCTACACTTCAGGGGATAGCAGAGTGTCACCCATCTATTCTTCATCCTTTAGTAAGACTTTCTATCTCGTGTTCTTTTTCCCTCTATTTGTTAACACCTTTTTGTTTTACTTTGCTTCCTATTGAAACTGCATGGTCCATGTTGACTAACTTTGATTACTTAAGATGTGGTCTGCCAGGTTTGTCTACTGCAGTTACTATTTTCTCCTTGACAATTTATAAGAAATTTCTGAGCAGATACTTTGAGACTATGTAAATACCTTGTTCCTCATCACACTTTTATCCACCAAACTTAACACCTTCATGCTTATTTTATATTATGTTACATTTTAAATCAAATGTAATATGTAAACAGGTTTTTTTTTTTAATTCCACTTTTCAGCAGCACTTTTTTTTTTTTTTTTTTTTTTTTTAAATAAGCCCCATGCTAAGTATGGGGCTTGAACTCACAGCCCTGAGAAAAAGAGTCAGCATGCTCTACTGACTGATCTAGCTGGGGACCTCTCAAAAGTCCTTTTAACCAATCCTGTTTTTATTTTTTTATTATTTTTTTCATATTTATTAATTTTGATAGAGAAAGAAAGAGCACACAACTCTATGTGAGAGGGGAGCATGGAGGCGGGGGGCATCCCAAGCAGGCTCCAGGCTGTCAGTGCAGAGCCTGATGCAGGGCTCAGTCTCATGACCTCGGAGTCATGACCTGAGGCAAAATCAAGAGTCAGTTGCTTAATTGACTGAGCCATCCAGGTGCCCCAGCCAATTCTGTTTTTTAATCGTTAATCATTCTATATAAAATATATCATTGTAGAGATCATTAGTGTCTTCTAATCATATTTCCTCACCCATTGTTTCAGTATGACAATCCTTGCACCATAAAGAAAAGAATTCCTAACATTATTGTTTGTCAGTTGTTCAAAATAATGTCACATTTTAGTTTGCTTTATATTTTTGGGCCATGGCTTTCTTATCCAGCATTTATATTTCTGGGGTTTCTAACTACTGTTATTTTGTCTTATTGTAAAAAAGAAATGATTTCTTTACCAAATGATCATTATCCATTTTCTTAGACCTTATATCTATTCCTTGGGACATATCCCATTCTTCTTTGGAGGCATTTTTCTCTTGGAATCTAATGGTTAATTAATTTCTTGAGGTATTGTACATCTCTCATCTTGGGATACCTCTTTCCTAGTTATTTCTACGTCTTAAGACTCTTTTTGAGTTTACATCGTGATTTTATTGGAGAACACCTTCAAGTAATTACCTCACAGAATGTGTCTGTGAAGTAAAATTTCTAAGTCCTTGCCTATTTGAAGGTTATTGTTGCTCTCATGTTTGGGTAGTAATTTAGCTGGATGTGAAATTCCAGTTTCAAAAATAATTTTACTTTGGAAACATGAATGGTGGAATTGGGAAAGGGAAATATGGGTCATCAAATATATGATATGACACTATGTCTCAGGGAAAGATTTCAAGATCTTTAAAAAGTTAGCATTGATTCATTTTGGGTGACAGATAGATGTCTGCTTCCTGTTCTTTTCTTTTTCTTCTCTAAGAATTTTCCTTAATGAAGGTGATATGATCTTCTCTTTATCCTTCCTATTTCAATAATTTCATAATAATGTAGTAAGCTATGGCCTTCTTTCCTTATCCTTACTTAGTGTTTAATGGATGCTTTCAATTTACAGACACTCCTTCAGCTTAGAGCAATTAATTTCTTTTTTCCTTGGGGTGCCTGGGTGTCTCAGTCGGTTGGGTGTCCAATTTTGGCTCAGGTCATGATCATATGATTCATGGGTTCAGGCCCTATGTCGGGCTCTGTGCTGGTGGCTAGCTCAGAGCCTGGAGCCTACTTCAGATTCTGTATTTCCCTCTCTCTCTGACCCTCCCCTGCTCATGTTGTTTTTCTCTTTCTCTCTCTCTCTCAGAAATTAAAAAAAAATTTTTTTAAGTTTTTTCCTTAATATTTTTCTTTACTTCTTCCCCACCCCCTACATTTTTATAACTGATTCTTTACTTCCATTGTCCTTCTCTTTTTCCATCTTTTTCTTTTTTTGTGCTAAGTTCTATATATGAAGTTTCTCCAGTTTTGCTTTCTTTGCCTTTAATTGATTTAAAAATTACAGTCATAGTTCTAATTTTCAAGAGATTCCCCTTTTTGATTGTTTCTTTCTTTACATTTATTCTTATTTCTTAGCTATGTCCAGAGTTGCCTTCCTGCATTTTCTGTTATTCATTCATCCACTCACCAAATATTTATAAGTAGCTATAATATATAATAGGCACTGCTCTAGGTGCTAAGAGTACGACAGTGAACAGAAGAGAAATCCCTGTCACCACAAAGCTTGCATTCTCATGGAGATACAGTCAGATAAATAGATTAAAAATGACAGTATGCTAGATAATGATAAGTTCTAAGGTAGAAAAAATACTGAGTAAAGACGTAAGGAAAATGAGGAAGGGAAGCTGACATCCAAAGAATAGGATTTCCAGGTGTAAATCTTCAACTACAAAGATATGATGTATGAGTGTTTGGGGGACAGCAAGAAGACTGCGCTGGCTGGAACACAGTGAAAGAGAGGAAGTGTAATAGAAGGTGAGGTTAGAAAGAGAGCTGGAGGCCAGATGGTAGGTTTTAGAGGACACAGACAGGATAAAATCCATGACTCCAAGCTTGAGACCTGAACAACTGGAAGAAAAAAGTAGCCATCAGTTGAGATGAGAAAGACTCAGGCATTAACTGAGATGGAAAAGCTGGTAGGAGGACCATATTGTGGGGTGATATATATCATAAGTTCAATTGGACATGTTAAACGTGAGGTGTTGTATAAGATGGATTTGCAAGTTTCAAATTTGGGAGAGAAATGTGAATCATGGAGTTATAAATTTGGGAGTCATCATAGATGACATCAGAGATGTCATAGATAACATTTAAAGCCAGGAGATTATATGAAATTGCTTGGGGCAGGGGAATATAGATAGAATAAAAAAGAAGTTAAAAAAAAAAAAGGTTTAAGGAAATGAGTCTTTGGGCATCCCAGGAAGTTAGGGAGATTAGAAAGATGTGGAAGAGACTAAAAAGAACAGTGGAGTAAGAAATAAGAAAGTTGAAGGAAAGTCAGGGAAATGTCCTAGAAGCTAAGAGAAGGAAGTATTTTAAGAGGAAAAATGCTGCTTGGTCAAATAAAAGAACTGAAAACTGCCATTGGATTTATCAATGAGAAGGTTGTTGGTGACCTTGACAAAAGCAATGCTGAAGTCATGGTGGCATTAGGACACTAGAGAAAAGAAATTATTACATACTACATAGAAATTATTTTAAAGGCTTTAAGAAACGTAAGAAATGATCAGTTGCTGCAGGTATGAGTGAGGTCAGAGGAGGTTTTGTTTTGTTTGATAAAGATGGGAATGATTATGTGGAGAGAAGGAAAATTTCTCTAGTGTTCTCCTTGATAAGTGAGAAGAGATAGAATCATAAATAGAATCATTGTCCTTAGCTAGGAGAGTAGACCGTTCATCCATAATAAGAGGAATAAAATAGGGGCGCCTGGGTGGCTTAGTCGGTTAAGCGTCCGACTTTCGCTTAGGTCATGATCTCGCGGTTCATGGGTTCAAGCCCCGCGTCGGGCACTGTGCTGACTGCCAGCTCAGAGCCTGGAGCCTGTTTAAATCTGTGACTCCCTCTCTCTCTGACCCTCCCCTGCTCACGCTGTCTCTCTCTCTCTCCTAGAAATAAAACATTAAAAAAAAAAATTAAAAAAAAAAAAGAGGAATAAAATAGATTATATGGACATGAGATGTAGGCAGGTGGATATTTGTGTTGTAGGAGTTTGCAGGAGGTTGTGTGATGTTTAGTGGAATGGAACATGGCAAGATGAGGTATTAGGGGTATAAGAGGAGACAAAGTATAGCATATTTATCCAGGGGAGCAGGATACTGAGTATAGTAGAGAAACATAGTATAATTGCCTTGAAGCATTAAGAGCGCAGTTGAAATTATTGTTATGAACTTAAAGTGAGCATCTTAATGTATTTTTCAGCAGCCAAATGAAGCTGCAGAGTTGCAGGCCCAGAGTAGCAAAACTTAACTAATCAGAGTTGTGGTATAGCCAAATAAATTCTGTGAAGGGAGAAAAGGGCAAGGGAATTGAAGGTGAAAGTGAGGATAGATTCAGAGGGAAATGAGGACATTTAGTAGGTGGAAGATAATGAAAAGGTGGTAGGACCACTGGGTCCTGGTGGGCATGAAAGGCCTGTCTCTTGGAGCTAAGATGTTAGAGGGACAGTGCTGGAAAGACAGAAGGATGGGCTACTTGAAATTGAGATTGTGTCAGGGTTGCACGTATTGAAAATACTTAAGTCTAGGTTTGGACTGTGTGTACGAGTGCTTAAAATAAAGTGAACGACAAGATAGTTTATGGAGAATAGGCCAAGGAATTGAGAGAGCAAAGGTTGAAGAGGCCATCTCTGTCAGCAGTCCTTAACCTGGGGTCCATAAATGGAATTCAGGGAGTTTGTGACCTGAACTGGACTGGGGAAAAATGACATCTTTATGTTTACTAATTCTTCACTGAAATTTAACATCTCCTTCAATTACGAATATAGGTAACAAACCAATAAAGTAGTAGCTCACCCCAATAAAAATTACAGATGTTTTCATATCATGTTAAAGCTTTTGCAGGTTCTTCAGAGTATTGTTTATGTTAATCACTATTACAAAATTATGATATACATTAGACCCACCATATATCTTCTTATTTAAGGTCTTACAAAAAGCCATGTGTGTTTCTATATTACATTTTAGAAATATTTTGATAATGGTATTTTACTACAACTGGTTTTCTTTATAATCCTATGTATTTTTTCTATACTTAGAATATTATTTTGAGGAGTAGCCCCTAGGCTTTACCCCCACTAGACTTCTAAAGTGATCCAGGGCACACACACAGAACTTTTAAGAATGGGTGACTTAAGATACTGAAATCAATAATTACTTCAGGAATGATACTGCAGAGAGTGACTGATCCAGAAGCTAAAATATTCAAGAAATGAGGAAAGTGATTATGGGTCAGTAAGTAGAGAACTGCACTTATTGGAGGGAGAAGGTGATGGCAGGAGATTGGAAGCTGGTGAGGGGTTTTGTGAGTTTTTGTTTGTTTGTTTGTTTGTTTTGGAGGGAGGAGAGAGCAAGGATTGTTTAGAAATGGCAGTGAATCACAAGGACACTTACCCTAACTCCCAGTCCAGTAGGAGGCAGGTAGGAGAGAAAGTGGAGGTTCCACCATTCTAGAGGATTGCAGGGAAGAAAGAGTGTCATTAAGAGAGATTCAGGTGTTTGAACAAAAAGAAGTGAATATTCACAAATGCGGCTGAGTGTGTTTGAGTAGGGACTGTGGATGTGTTGTAAATGGTGAAAGGGGAGAAGTAGGAGATGGGATCTGAAAACATGATGCACATAATCCTTTGGGGATTAGAATCCATGGATTGGGTCTTAGGCTTCTTGTAGGGCCAGGCATGTCAGGGAAAGAGGGGACATGATGATTTTCATCCTGAGGTCCTGAAGCAGACAGTGTAGGGGTGAGTGGGGATGCTGAGGGAAGTGAGAGCAGGGCTCTTTCTAGGCATATGCAGATTACTGGGACTCACACTTAACTCAGGTCCTCCATTTTCTACCTTCAAACACCTTTCTAAGTTCCTAATCATTTCCCCATTTCTTCCCTTTAGCCCCAGTAGCTCTTTGCTATATTCTGTATCCATGCTTATACCCTATTGCCTTTGTGTTTGCCATCCCCACTGTCTAATCAGGTCTTTCCAAGATATCTGTTTAACTTGCTCCTTCAATTTTGTTCAGGTTTCTGTCCAAATATCACCTTATTAGAGAGGATGTCCCTGACCATCTTAAACAGTTAATATACTTCCTTCACTTCTGACTGCTTTCTGTCTTCTTACACTGCTTTATTATTTTTTCTTAATATTTAACACTACCTAATTGATCATTTATCTGGTGAATGAATTCCTTTTGTCTAGCTCCTCCCACCAAGCTCCTCCCATTTGCCTATGTGATAGACATTCAAAACATCTTTGGTGAAAGAAAGAAAAAGTAAAATCAGAAACAACCCTCAGAGGACAAGGGGATTATAATATAGTGGCTAAGAATCCAAGCACCCAAGTCAATTGAATGAGTTGGTTACTTAACTTTGTTCAGTCTCTTTCTCATCTGCAAAGTAGAGCTGATAGTAGTACTTACTTCAGAGAGCTATCAAGATTAAGTGAGATAATGAGGGGCGCCTGGGTGGCTTAGTGGGTTGAGCGTCTGACTTTCACTTAGGTCATGATCTCGCGGTTCGTGGGTTCGAGCCCCGCGTCGGGCTCTGTGCTGACTGCCAGCTCAGAGCCTGGCGCCTATTTCAGAGTCTGTGTCTCCCTCTCTCTCTGACCCTCCCCTGCTCACGCTGTCTCTTTCTCTCTTTCCTAGAAATAAATAAAAAATATTAAAAAAAAAAAAGATTAAGTGAGATAATGAGTATAAACATCTCCCAGAGTACATAACACAAAATCTCTGGTTTTTTTTCCAGAGTCTTTCCATTCTTGAAACTAGAGATTTTGTTTACTTACCAGGCTTCTGACTCTGTTTTTCCCCAGCAACCTGAACTTCTTGTCTGGGACCTTTCAATATCCTTCTGCCTACATTTTAGTGTGATATGACTTTAGTGCTCTACCCTTTCTGGGGAGTACTCTTGACCACACTTCATACACTTCTCTTGATCAAAACTTCTTAAACATGTCCTCTTTTCTGCAGGAACCATGCTTGCTCAGTTTTCTACCACATTATTAATTTTCCTGGTAAAGTAATTCATGCTCAGGTATTAGAGTTTGTTAGAGGCATATTATGTTATGCCTGTCAGTATTTGTACTTAATTTAGGTACTAATACTCTTAGAGTAAACCAACAATGGTGAAAATAACGTGAAGTAAGTGCTGCTTTTTTGTTTTTTGCATTCCTTAGCTCATTTCATGTAGGTGCCTCCCAACTTCATCTATAAGTTAGAGCACTTCTGATTTTCTCTTATCTTTCTTTCCAAGCATGTGGTACTTTACATGAATTTCCCTAAACAGAATCATAGAGATTTAGATTCAAAGAGACTTTGAGATTATCTGGACCAGAGATTTCCAGCTTTTTTCTTTTTAAAACAGCAAAATCCTTTCCTCAAATGAAATGCTATGTGGAAACATACTATATAGATTAATAAAAGCACAGCTGATTGCTGAGCCCAGGAATCCAAGCCCTATAGTTCTCCCTTTGTTGTCTGGGACAATCCCCTGAGGGCACTGAAACCCGTAGGGCTCCCCAGAGTGCTGTTTTAAAACCACTAATTTACACCAACCCTTTCATTTTTCCAGCTGAGGAAATACACCCAGAGAGTTTGAGTTTTATCCAGTGTTACAGGATAAATTAGTTGGATTAAGAGCAGTCCTCACATGTGTCATATTTAAGAAAACATTATTGGACTGTTATGGAAGTTCTTATTTCTAAAGCAGATAACTTTTTCTATCTCATTTCTTTTAATCAGCCAATTTTTATTTGGTATTCATACTACATAGGAGGTACTTTCTATGGTTTTAAGTGATATAAAGAATTATGAGGCACAACCCTTGCCTTTAAAAAGCAAGTAGTAAAGTTGAGAAGATAAAATATGCAGTAGAAAAGTTATATCAAATTTAAATACAGCTTCAAGACTTGAGATATAGCAAGGAAGTGTGGAATTAATTTAAAATAAATGATACCAATAATAAGCTTTGTTGGAATTTAGAGGAGGGTGCTGCTACTTCATTTGGGCTAGAGAAAGTTTTAAAAAGGAGCCATGGTTGAGCTCTGTTAGACTTGGCTACATAAATAGGTGTAAGGAGTATGTCATATGAACAGAAGCAGAGCTTCTGTGAATTGCAGCTCCTTCATTTATCTCCATATAATGCTGGGGAAGTTCTTTACCTCTAAGCCTGTTCCTTCATCTGCAAAATGGAGATATATAGGATGTTTATCAATTAAGTACAGATTAATTGGTTGAACATAAACCTTAAAATGTCAGTAGTTTATCACAATAGAAATTAATTTTTCCCTTATATTGGTGTTTATGTTGGACAGTCTTCCATGAAGTCACTCAGTGACCCAGATTGCTTCTCTTTCAGTTTCTGCCTTCGGTAGGTAGTTTTTCAGAAAAAATAGAGAATTCTCCTAGGGCAGGTTTTCAGGGACTGGGCTTAAAAGTGGTACATAGTTGTCTGCCCATTTACCATTGGCCAAAAGTTAATTACAGAGCTATGCCTGAACACAGAAGATGTAGTTAAGCCATGTGGACAATTTGGAAAGGAAACAAGCCTTAGAGAACACAAAGAGGTCTCTTCTACCTCACAGAGTTTTGGGGATGAGTGGAGGAAATGTATGTCATGTTCGGTATAAGGCACACATAGGATGTAGAAGAATTTAAACATCCTTTTTGAAGTATAGGTAAATTTATAGAATATCTTGCTAGGTACAGATAATCCACTAAATTTTTATTAACCTGCAATGTAACCTCTTTTTGGAGAGGTATCAATTTATTTTTGACTCTTGATAATAAATATTTACAATGATTCTTCTTGGTAAATTCTTTGTTTCTTTTTCTTTTAGCATGGTGTTATTGCTACAGAAGATGAAGAATATTTTATTGAACCATTAAAGAATACCACAGAGGATTCCAAACATTTTAGTTATGAAAATGGCCATCCTCATGTTATTTACAAAAAGTCTACCCTCCAGCAACGACATCTGTATGATCACTCTCATTGTGGGGTTTCAGGTGGGTGAGTGTGTGGTTTTTACAAAGTGTATTGTATTGTGGCATTGTATTGTATTGCCACTCTCTTTCTTCTGACATTAAGGTAAGTAAGGTTAATAGTAAAGGTAAACGGGAATTTGAGCAATTAGAATGATAATGCCCAGAGTTCTTTTAAAAGATGTCACCTATTCAAATGCCATAGGATTTCACTCATATTTGGAATTTAAGAAACAAAAGAAGGAAAAAAGAAAAAAAAAGACGCAAACAAAAAACCAGACTCTAAAATACAGAGAATAAACTGGTGGTTGTCAGAGGGGGTGGTAGGTGTGGGGATGGGTAAAACAGAAAAAACGGATTAAGAGCCCACCTATCTTGAGCACTGAGTAATGTATAGAATTATTGAATCATTATATTGTACTCCTCAAAGTGATATAACTGTATATTGATTACACTTTAGTAAAAAAACAAAAAACAAAACAAAACCCACTTCCTTTTCAGTGGGAAAAAAAGGTATCACTTATCAATAGTTTTAAGTCAATTTTGGAAGTTCTTTGAGAAGTCCTTAAAATAGAAGACTGTGTAAAATTATTTTTCTCTTTCAAGGGAAAAGCCCCACCCTATTTTATCCAGGTAATAGTTATAGTTTTCATGCACATGTGTTCCATAATACTATGTGTTATTTGGTTAGCCTGTTTTTCTATCTATCTACCTACCTACCTACCTACCTACCTACCTACCTACCTACCTATCTATCATCTATCTATCTATCTATCTATCTATCATCTATCTATGTATTTATCATCTATCTATCTATATGGATTGAGAGAGAGAGAGAATGAGAATGAACCCCAAGCAGGCTGAGCATGGATCAACTGGACTTGATCCCATGATCCTGGGATCAAGACATGAGCTGAAATCAAGAGTCAGATGTGCAACCACCTGTGCTACCCAGGCGCCCCTGGTTAGCCTGATATCTTTATGCTAATGGCGGGACCCTAGACACTTGAATAAGATTTGAAGACTCTTAAGATAGTATTCAAAGACAGTGATAGTTAGGGTACTATAGAAATACATATGGGGAGAGGGGTGCCTGGGTGACTCTGTTGCTTAAGTTTCCAACTCTTGATTTCAGCTCAGGCCATGATCTCTGGTGAGATCAAGCCCCGCATTGTAAAGCATGGAGCCTGCTTGGGATTCTCTCTCTTTCCCTCTCTCTCTGCCCCTACCCCAGTTGTCCTCACATCTTCTCTCTCTCTGTCTCTCTCAAAATAAATAAATAAACATTAAAAAAATAAAATAGAATAAATGATTTAAAAGAAAGAAAAAGGAAACACATAGCAGAGACATTAGCAGTAAAAAAAAGGCTTCATGGAAGAAGTGACCACTAAGCTTAGACCTGAGGGAGAAAGAAGGTAGCTGTCCAGAAGTGGAGCAAATGTGGGTAGACTGTTCTGTAGAGAGGAAACAGCATTTATAAAGGTTCTGAACCAAAAGAGAGAATGTCACATTGCAGTCATTACCAGTTCCTATAACAAGATAACGTATTAGAATGTGGGCTGTTGGCATAGGAGTGAATTTCACAGTGGGCATTGGGTGAGGAGTGGCCATGAGAGATGAAACTGAATTAACAAGGAGGGCCAAGACACAAAGGGCTTTAAACCATGTTAAAGAGTTTGTTTATCCTAAGTGTGGTGGAAACCCATTGAAAGGTGTTAAGCAGTAAAAATCACATGATCAGATTTGGGGGTTAGAAATCTTATCCTGGCAGTCCTATGGAGACTGAATGAGAGAAGAGCAAGGCTAGAGGTAATGAGTTAAGAGGCTCTTTAGTTTAAAGATTAGAAAACTAACAGAATAGAGGATATAGCTTAGCATAGTAGAAAGAATATAGGCTTGTGTTGTATGAAAGGAGAGAAGATTAGCACTCCCCTTGACAAGGATGGAAGAGGCCCTCAGGCCTGACAACACGCATATGGTTAAGGCATTGCCACCTACTTCGTGGCATCTAACCAGCCTTTTTATGAAATGTGACCATGTGTAGCAACATGGATGGACCTTGAGGGTGTTATGCTGAGTGAAATAAGTCAGGCAGAGAAGGACAGTGACCATATGTTTGCACGTATAGGAGGATTAGGAGGAACTTAACAGAGGACCATGGGGAGAAGAAGGGAGGATATGGGGGGTGGGGGGAGGGAGGCAGGCAAACCATGAGAGACTCTTGAATGCTGAGAACAAACTGAGGACTGATGGATATGGGGGGAGGGGAAGGGGGGAGATGGGTATGGAGGAGGGCACTTGTGGGGTTGAATACTGGGTGTTATATGGAAACCAACTTGACAATAAACTATTAAAAAAAAAAGAAAATAAAGGAAAACTTACAAAGTGAAAGAAAATGTTTGCAAACCCATACATACAACAGTGGACATGTACCTAGAATAAATACTTAAAACTTAAAAAAAAAAAAAAAGAAAGAATATAGGCTTTTTCTAGCTTTGGACAAATGCCCCTACTTCTCTGAGTACTTCTTTCAGCACATATTTGTTTGCTCAGTGTAATTGTAGCTATCGTTATTATTGAGATGTCTATTTCTAGCATATAAAGAGCTTTTATATTAAGAAAAAAAAAAAAGATTAGGTGTGCCTGGCTGGCTCAGCCAATGGAGTATGTGTGTGACTCTTGATCTTGGGTTGTGAGTTCAAGCCCCACAATGGGTATAGAGATTGCTTAAAATCTTAAAAAAAAAAAAAAAAAAAAAAAAAAAAAAAAAGATTAGGTTTGTTTTGTGTAGGGGTAGAGTATTTCAGAAGCAGGTTTTAGCTTAATACAAAGAGAAGTTCACCAACAAGTGATTTTAGAAAAGAATGGGATGGGTTCAACAAGTAGGTTTATAAAAAAGAAAATGGTTTATCTTAGAAATTAGTGGATGCATCACTCTTTAGTTTTATATCCATATGCTTCTTGGGCTCCTTCTGCCTTAAATATAAGTGTTCTTTCAAGTTCTTTCTTCAACTGACTGTTCTCCTTCTGCATATTCTTTTCATGGATAATCTCTAGAAGGTCTTTCTTGATGAAGAATAATTGGTACTAGAAAAAGGTGACTTAAAGTGAATCCACTTAAAACATGAAATAAAATTTCATAGGAGACAGTGAAAAAAAATCATTGAGTAATGAAACTAAACATTATACAAATAGGTTTTCTTATATTTAGTAAAATTTAGGCTATAAATAAAACTATATATAAATTCTTGAAAAACTAGGATTCAGATATTTACTTGTTTATTGTGAAATAATTTTCCCATCACTTTTGCTATAACATGAGATTCTTTACTTCACGATCATAAAGATCACTTTTTGCAAAAATACTTAAAAGATTTCATAATATTCTGAAAAATATCTCTTATCCCTTAGATATTCAAATTATCCTCTTTTGAAGTGCCTGTCTTATTATTCACTGGCCTTACTTGGGCAGATCCTTCTTTTTCAAAGGTTTAGGCACTAGTCAAATCCACTCTTATTGCATCATATAATTCTGCCCCTTTGGGGGAATGTATTTTCTTCCACAGTCTCTCCCCCTAGATTACTGTGCTATTAGCAAAAAATAAAGCAGGTCAGTGAGATATTCTTGAATAACTGAAAAATCTTGAATGGATTACTGTGACTATTGCCTCATTTTAAATCTATTAACTGGTCCTTTCTGTTACCTTTAACACCAGTCCATTTAGTTCTGACTCCTGTCATCTCTTACCTATACCACTATAATGACTTTCTAACTGGTCTTCCTGTCTTCAGGTTTGTTATTCTGTCTTTAGTGTGCTGTCTCTTAAATCTGGTTTTATTATACACTGTCAAACACTTCATGGATTCCCATGAGTGGAAAAAAATTATAGTAGTTCCCTCAGTTCCATACGAATATCACTAGAAAAAAATATTTTGTGTTTAATGAGTTTGAGTTATATCTAGTTAAGAACTACTGATCTTCTCTCTCAGAAATAAATTTAAAAAATTTAAAAAAAAAAGGGGGGCACCTGGGTGGCTCAGTCGGTTAAGCGACTGACTTCGGCTCAGGTCATGACCTCACGGTTTGTAGGTTCAAACCCCACATCGGGCTCTGTGCTGACAGATAGCTCAGAGCCTGGAGCCTGTTTTGGATTCTGTGTCTCCCTCTCTCTCTAACCCTCCCCTGCTCACGCTGTCTCTCTCTCTATCTCAGAAATTAAAAAAAAAAAAAAATTAAAAAAATTTTAAAAAACAGCTACTGATCTTAATTTTGATACTATTTTGACAGCATAATTCAAATGACATGTGCATTTATGGGTGTTAATTGCCAATTAACTGGTTTTTGGGAATGTAATTTTATATCAAAATATAAGAGAAAAATGCTTTTGAAAGTGGGTATATTTATCTTAGATATAAACTTTCCCATTCTAATTAGATGATGCTATCAATTTTTAAAAAATTATGAAAAATATTTGCTTTTTGTAGAAAATTTAATAAATATGGGGTAAAAAGAAAAATGAGGAAGTGGAAGTTGCTCCTTTACCATTACCCAGGGATAACCGAATGCTCTCATTATCCATTGATATAGATATTATGTCTCTATACTTGCATGATTTACATATGCACTTATTAGATAAATATTCATTAAGCATTTATGTGTCAGGCTATTCTAGATGTTGGGGATGCAGCAATAAATAAAACAGGAAAAGTTACTGCTCCCATGAAGCTTGTATTCTAGTGAATAGAGACAGTTAACTAAAAAAAAAGAGTCAAGGAGACAAATAAATACATAGCCAACTATCAAGAAGTAATAGTGCTTTTAGTGAAAAATAAAGCAGGTCAATGCATTAATTGTGAATGTATGTATTTAAAAATATGTTGAGATTGATCAAAAATTGAAGATCTTGTTTCAGATGGCAAAAAGATCCATGTATTTGGTTTTGGGGAAAAGTTCTTTATTGTATATGTTTATGGAGGAATATTCTCTCTAACATTTCACATTTTATGCAAAATTAAATTGAGCAAAGCATATGTAATGAGTATCATTTGAATATCTACTAATCTTTGTTTTGAAACAAAACAAGTCAATTGTGTATTCTATATTAGACTAAAAAAGATATTAGTTACAGATGATTAAGCTTAACATTAAACAGTCATTTGATAATTATGGAATGTAGATACTGGTTTGTAATGATCTAATCATGCTGGATTAATTTAATCTTTAAAATGAAACCAGACATCTCAATTGTACTCATTCATTCATCATAGTACAGTTTTTTTTGCATATAATACTCTTTCCATTTGCAAATGTCCTGGGTGGCTCAGTCAGTAGGGTGTCCAACTTCAGCTCTGGTCATGATTTTATGGTTTGTGAATTCGAGCCCTGCGTCAGGCTGTATGCTGGCCTTGTGGAGTCTACCTGGGATTCTCTCTCTCTCCCTCTCTTTCTGCCCTGTCCCACTTGCACCTGCTCTCTATCAAAATAAATAAATAAACTTAAAAAAAAGAATGTGCATCAAAGACATTATATATACATTTATCTGATGGAGTGATAAGCAAACTAACAATATAAGTCTGAGATTTATGAAAATGATGATAACAGTAGCTACCTTATACTGAATGCTGTCTAATGAGAAACACTGTTGCTATCTTTATTTTGCCCAATCATATCTAATTTTTTTCATAATACTTGAAATAAATATAAGGAGAAGTTGAATGGAGCAGAGAAGTGAAAATGACCAAAATCATTGAAGTTAAATCCTGTATTTAGACATTTAGGCTGTCCATCCAGAGAAAGGGAAAACAAGGATGATTTGAATACATGAGTGGTTTTATGATCATGGAAGACCAAGCAAAAGAAATTGGAATTATGTTAATGCAGAAAGGATTTTGACCATTTCAGCACAATACTACTACAAACTCAGTGGCGTAAGCAATATGGTTTTATTATCTCATAGTTGCTATGGACAAAAGTTGTACATGAATGAATTATCAACTTAGCCAGTACTGGGTTCTCATCTGGAGCCTTGATTTGGGAGGAATTTACCTTCCTATTCCCATGGTTGTTGGCAGCATTCAGTTCTTTGCTATTATAAGACTGAAAACTTTAGTTTGGGGCTGGTTGTCTGCCAGAGGCTGTGGTAGTTCCTTGCCATGTAGAGTTCACCAACTTGGTTGCTTTCTTCCTATAAGCCAGCAAGGGAGGGACTCTAGGGAAAAAAATGCTACAGGATTATGTAACATAATTATGTACTCATTGATATATAATCAGTCACATCCCATTATCTTTGCTCTATTATACTGTTTAGAAACAAGTCACAGGTCCTATCCACACTAAAGGGGAAGAGATCATACAAAGTGTGAGCAATAAGAAGTCATGGTGGGCTCCTTAAGAGTCTTTCTAGAATCGGGGAATACTTATTGGCTGTCTGGGAGGTGTACATTTTTTTTCATGTTTATTTATTAATTTGAGAAGACAGAATATGTGTAGTGGTGGAAGGACAGAGAGAGAGGGAGAGAGAGACTTCTAAGAGGCTCTATGCCATTAGCGTGGAGCCCAGTGCAGGGCTCAAACTCACTAACCGTGAGATCATGACCTGAGCTAAAATCAAGACTTGGAAGCTTAACCGACTGAGCCACCCAGGTGCCCCTGGAAGTTATACTTTTGAAATAAGTAGTATGTCTCTGCCTTTCTTGACCTTTAGGAATAAAAATGCTTATTTAACTTATATAAGCTTAAAAAAATATTTTACTGATACTTTTCATAGTCATTTCCATCTCTTATTTCTTAAAATTTATAACTTTTATCAAAGTAATTTTTAAAAGGCAAAGGCTGAAGAAATTAGAAAAATAATAGAGAATACTGCCAATTTCTGTCAAGCATATTATATAAATTAACCTGATTTTCATCACTAAATTTTTCAATAAGTAGATGTTAGAAAGACTTCTTACTCAACATACAGATATGAAAGTGAAATATACAGAGGACCTGTACCTCTTAAAGTTTATTAAATAAAGATGAATATAAATGAGTCAAGTGTTTACAGATGCATAGTACTAAAAGGCTGCCTGTGTACTGAAGGACCAAAGGTCTAGAAAACAAAGGATTAAACTGTAATCCACAGTAAAATGTGGTTTAAAGCAAGTCATGCCAGAACCATAATCTTTCGCCTCTCATTCTAACACCATTTACCTCTAGGTTTTAGAAGAGAAAAATTCTGGGTACTCTGTCAGTATAAATAGTTGTACACCACAAAATTAAACGAAAAAATAATTCACAGTCTTTGAGAATTGGGATTTCTAGGGGTGCCTGTGTGACTCATTCATTTAAGCAACTGACTCTTGATTTCGGCTCAGGTTGTGATCTTGTGGTTCATGAGATCAAGCCCTGAGTGGGGCTCTGCACTGACAGTCCTGAGCCTGCTTAGGATTCTTTCTTCCTCTCTTGCTGCCCCTCCCCCACTTATGCTCACTCCCTCTCTCTCAGAATAAATAAATAAACCTTAAAAAAAAAAAAAAAGCATTGAGATTTCCAGGGCAGTAGAATTGCTATAATTAAGAAAGTTTAATAAAAGGATAATACTTTAAAATAAATACTGAGGGGCGCCTGGGTGGCTCAGTCGGTTGAGTGTCTGACTTCGGCTCAGGTCACGATCTTGGGGTTCATAGTTTCGAGCCCTCCGTCGGGCTCTGTGCTGACAGCTCAGAGCCTAGAGCCTATCTTCGGATTCTGTGTCTCCCTCTTTCTCTGACCCTTCCCTACTCACGCTGTCTCTCTCTCTCTCTCTCAAAAATAAACAAAACGTTAAAAATTTTTTAAAATAAATACTGAGAAGCATCTTAGGAATGGGATTTTGTGGGGAGACTGACTGGTTCTGTTGGTAGAGCATGTGATGCTTGATTATGGGGTGGTGAGTTCAAGCCCCACGTTGGGTGTAGAGATTACTTTAAAAAAAGGAATAGATTTTTGCGGTGTTAATGTTCTTCATCAGAACTATTTTAGAGGGGCAGCAGGGTGGCTTACTCATTTGAGCTTATGACTTTGGCCTAGGTCATGCTCTCACAGTTCCTGAGTCAAGCCCCATGTTCTGTGCTGACAACTCAGAGCTGTTTCAGATTCTGTGTCTCCCTCTCTCTGTCCTTCCCACACTTGTGCTCTGTCTCTCTCTTTCTTAAAAAAAAATAAATAAATAAAATGAAACTATTTTAGAGTGTTTAGAAAGTTAATGCCCTAGCTGTTTTTTAAAAAAAACTTTAAAAAGTACATATTTTATATTTAAAAGTATTATGACATAATCGCTCACTGGAATAATATGAAATTATTATTTAAAACTATATTTTTATTAAGTAATTCTTTGGGCTTATTTTGTTTTATTTTTATGAGCAGCTATATGTTATTAATGTTTATTTTTTCGGATAAAATGTTTTGAAAATAGTAAAGAATTTAATTTTCTCACTACTGCATTTCCTCATCCCTTTTCCTCATTATGAAAAATCTTATTACTTTAGGGAGTTTATGACAAGTGTGTCTATATGAAAGATCTGAAAATAAGTAAGTTTAATTAGTGAACCTATCTGAACTAGTTAATTTTTTTTATTGTAGACCTCATAAGAAGTGCCAAACCTTGGTGGCTGAATGACACATCTATTTTTCCTTCTTCACTACCAATTAATGGCACGCATATCCGCCACAGACAGAAGAGATCAGTAAGCATTGAGCGGTTTGTGGAGACATTGGTAGTGGCAGACAAAATGATGGTGGGCTACCATGGCCGCAAAGACATTGAACATTACATTTTGAGTGTGATGAATATTGTAAGTTTGATGCCTCTATATAATATTATGACTTAATTTGTGGTTTTGACTAAGGTCATGGATTTTTAATGTGAATTAATGATTTTAAGAATATACTTGTCTAAAATGAGAAAAAAATGATATATTAATGTTTCATTTCCATAGGAAATAAATGTAAAGGTGACCTTATTGTTCATTTTCAGATAATATGACTGTTTGAATGGGTCGGATTAAATCATGTTTAAAAGGTTTTATTTGACTTGAAACATCAGGTCACCCTCTTAATTACTATTTGTAGTTCAGTTTTAGGAGAAAATGTTTCTTGAGGTAGATTTGTATACCAAATCTTTTATGGAGGCATCTTGAGGGTAGTATTCTAAGTGATATGAGATCAAATAATGTCTTTGTATATACAAAGTGGTTAAATTTATGAACAATTATTTTACCATTCTTAAAAAAAAATTAAACAAGCACCCTATGATTTTTGTCTGACTTTGTGTCTTTTCTTATTTTCTGGAGGTCAGGTTGCCAAACTTTACCGTGATTCCAGCCTAGGAAACGTTGTGAATATTATAGTGGCCCGGTTAATTGTTCTTACAGAAGATCAGGTAAGAATGAGTTAGTTTAGAAATCTAAGACACTTAACAGACAAGCCATAGAATTATGTATTATAAAATAAAATAGTTTATTATTGCTCCTCTTAGCAAGTTCTAGTTGAATATAATTTTCACTCCTAAGCATTTAATATTTTAAGCAAATTTTAAATAGTTTATAAGAATATACCTCTTATGTCATGTTAAAGCTATATGTATATATGTATATTAGCTCTATGTTTCGGTAGAAAGATGAACATTGGCATGGCAGATCTAATAATAGTGGTTTTGGTTGCTGATAATCACATTTATTCACATTATCATTAAAGCTGGAACTAGAAAGAATGCTCAATAGTACACTAAACTCTAGGGTCAGATATTACAGAGATAAAAGTTGGCAAGAGATTATTCCTAGAAACCACTGCTTCTAATTATAGTCCCACTTTAGTCTTAAAAAGTTTTAACAACTGACCTTAGTAATTTGTTTGGAACATTTCTGGTATGCATGTTGTATTGCAGCCAAACTTGGAGATAAACCACCATGCAGACAAGTCCCTCGATAGCTTCTGTAAATGGCAGAAATCCATTCTCTCTCACCAAAGTGATGGAAACACCATTCCAGAAAATGGGATTGCCCACCACGATAATGCTGTTCTTATTACTAGGTATGGTTTGTTGCAAATATTTTACCTTTGATTGTTATGTTTAATATTTTAACTATATTTGGTTCTATCTAAAGCCTCATTCAGGTAATAAGTATGTTCAAAACAAAATGGTAATTTGTTATTCACCACTGAGAAAATATATCACATTCTTACTGTGTTTGCATCAAATGAATCAAATTAAAAAAAAAGAACAGATTTAGAGTTGACTTAGAAATTTAATGAACATCTTTCCTTCTGCTGGCTGATGTCTACACATAAAGTTTAATTGGAAGCTCATATGTTTTATTAATTGAAGTAGTTAATAAAACAAAGATTAAAAAGTATGAGATTATATTTTAAAAACAAAAATGAGTCATCACTCTTGATTATCAAATATATTAATTATTCTTACCTCCAAAGTATTAAAAGCAAAGAGATCAAGGGTTACAGAATTTACTTAGACAAATGTTTATTTAATTAAAAATATTTTAATTATGGTATAAAGAAGCAGATTTATTATATGTTGAATAACTTGCTTCTTAGGCAAAATTATTATTTGATGATAACCCAATGAATTTGTATATTTCTTTCCAATTTTAGAAAACTGTGTTCAGGTCCTTTTATTCCTTACTCTCCAACAAGAACTCTGTGAAGTAGATATAATTATTATTATTCCTATGTGAAAAATGAGAAAACTAGTTCAAAATACTTAAATCACTAAAGATCATCATCTAGCCACATAAAGTTCAGGGCTCAAACCCTGGTGATGCTATCTTCTTTGATTATACTGTGATTATACTATACTTTCATTATAGCTGTCTTAGTTTTTTATACCCTAATTATGACTAGTGAGAAGCATGCTTAAATCATTTAAAGATGAGCTTGTCTTTTGACCTTCTATCAGTACTAAAAAAATAATAAGCAAAATGGAAGCATTAATCTATCTTGGTGAAACGGAATTGCCTTGTTACCTTGGTCATTTCTTTTTAATTTGCAATGCCCATTGACTCTACATTAAATTCTTTGGAGGGAGTATAAAGTTATATGGCATCAGAATCTTGAGATCTCAGAAGATAATGTGAATTTAGCTTTTTAAAAAATATCGCTGTTAATTAAGTTGTAGAGTTAAAGTTTTAAAGTTTATTTTTTCTAACAATTATAATTACTTTAATTGATTTCATCTACCTGGCATCATAAATCATAAAATTTTGTTTATGATATGCTTGCTGAATAAAAACAACATTGTATGGGTTCTATATTCATATGTGTTGACATGTCAGTCTGATAAATTCTGCAATTCCTCAGAGTCTTGTGGTTTGGAATGATTCCCAAATATATTTGAGGAGTTAAAAATATACTAAGAATTGTGCAAATATAGAAACCTTTGTCTAAAAATATATGTGGATATGATTAGTGTCAAGAAATTACTACAGGAAAATGTCTGTGATATATGGTTAACAAAATGATCACAGAATATTTACATTGGCTTCTGTGTTTATATTTATAAAATCCTGCCTCTCCAAAAGGCAATGCCCAGTGGGCTCCTGGTGCTTTACATTTTTGTTATTGTATGTGCATTCAATTTTTAACTTTTGCATCAGATGATAGTAGCTATTGGTATAGCACATTTATAAGTATTTAAGTAGTGAAATATGTCTGAGAAGTTAGCCATCTTTTCTTTGCACTGGCTACAACATTCAGCTGTCTGACTTGTTCCTCCGAATTGGCCCACATATTTTTCTGATCCTATGCAGAGCTCTCCTTGTTTCTATAAGCTACTTTGAGTGCCTTTTTGATGCCTGAGGTTTGAACATAATATTTTCATTTTAAACTTGTCTCTTAATGGTCACACTAGCCCTAGAAATGATATCAGAATTTAATAGGACAGTACTTTAAAGAGTTCATATCTCATATATATCATTTAGATTGATTATATAGTGGAGGTTAGAAAAGCGTCTATTTGGGACAGCATAGAATGCCTTTTTGGATTGTGGTAAAGTCCCAGAGAAACTTGTAGCTTATTTAAAAGTCTACTTATTTGAAAGTCTAATTATCTTTGAATTATTAGGACCATGCAGTGACATCTAAATGTAATGAATATCATCTCTAATATTCAGAGTTTTTTATTGTATGTTTTACCATGCTTGATTCTTCCTTATATATTTTTGCTTTGTGACATTGAATGTATCTTTAAATCATACTTTTACTCTTAGTGAAAATTATTATAAGAATTTTATAGATGGTTTATATTAAAATTTTTCATTGCTTCATGTAATTTATTAACATATTCAACGTTGTGACTTCACTATTTATAGGTAAGATCATGATTTATGTTTGCCTGAAATGTCAGCTCACTAGGGAGAATGTATTTTGTGTTTACTGAGAATTCTAGAGAAAAATTGATAGATATGTTTATCTCCACTAGGACAAACTTTATCTTAGGGACTTGTATGTTTTAAGCAGAAAACCATTTGAAACTATAGTTACTTAGGTAATAACAGTTACTTTTGAAAAAATATAAAGACTCAAAATACGATCTTCACTTAGCAAATAATATTTTCTTTTTTTATTTGATATAAATTTAAAACAGTGCTCTACAAAGCTACAAGAACACCATGACTGGACAGAAATAAATAAGCAAAACAAAATATTTAAAATTTTGTTGTTTTATCTGTTATCAAAAATACTGCATTAACACCATAGAGTATATTACAAACTATTTATATATATACATACATTTTAATTTTATATGTATTTGTTCATTTTTATATGTTCCTGTATATAATGAACATTTGTTATATGCTAGGTAGCTTTATCTGATATTTTTTAAAAAATTGAAATATAATTGACAAACAAAATTGTCTATGTTTAAGGTGTACAGTATGATCACCTTGTTTTCCTGGATGTTCATATATCTCCCCAGATATAGAAAGTTCTCAGCTGTTATATCCGTAAATAAGTTTTTTGCCCCTTTCTCTCTCTCTTCATCATGTTATTATTGCTAATGCTAATATTATTTCATATGATGATGTCCCATCATTTAGATAGGCTTTCATCAGTGTTTTTTGGCTTTCCTTCTTTTAGTGGGTAATAGTAAATGATTTGTTTGTAAGTTCACAGTTTCTTTTTTCTGCTTAATTACATCTGCTATTGTTGCTCTCTGTCACATTTTTAAATTTCATTCATTTCATTCTTCAGCTTGAAAATTTCTATTTGTTTCTTTTCTATAATTTTGACCTTTCTTTTGAATCTATTGTTTTATTACATATTCTTTTCCTGATAGCATTGAGTTGTGGATATATATACTTTTGTAGGTTGCTGAACTTTTTAAGAACAATTATTTTGAATTATTTGTCTGTCAATTTGTAGATTTCCATTCCTTTGTAGTCACTTCCTGGAAAATCATTTTATTCATTTGATGGTGTCATATTTCCTTGATTTTCCCTGTCTCTGTAGATTTGTGGTGATGTCTGTGCATTGGATGGATGGAAGGCACTCCTTCCAGATTTTGTGGAATGGTTTTAATAGAGAAAGATCTTCATCTATGGGTGGGCATAAGGGTGCTGGCTAAATGGAGTATGGTGTTTCTAGCTCTGGAGGAGTTCCAGCAATGTAGTCTCTATACACCTTTGTCAGCTGAGGTTAGCCTTGGTCAAGATTGCAGAGGTACTCAGTGGCCAAGGTTATATTTGTCTGCAGCAGTAAAGGTGACTAGGGACCAACTGGATATCTTCTTCTTTCATGAGGTATGTCACAATGGAGGGGATTTCTCTTGTTGCTGGGTCCAGCTTGCAAGTACCCATATCAGTATTGGTAGCACAGATGTCTAATATGTGGGGGCCTTTGGTAACTTTTTAAAAATGATTGAATATGAAACGTATATAACTTCATCAAGAAATGATTTGTAGTTTTTACGTGAAACTCTACAAATAGAATTTAAGAAGATAAAATAGGACTGTATATATATACTTAAAAAGTTGTTACAAAACTTTCATATTATTCTTATTAAACTTTGTATTGAGAAATTGTAAATTAATGGCTACTAAGGAATACATATATACAATTTGACATATTATTTAAAACATTTATATTTTTAAGGGAAGCTAAGAAATTTCCACCAAATTTAAAGTCAAGACAATGTCTAAATTTATTTTGTGGCAAAAGTATTCAAGAAATCTATTTATACTCTGAAAATCAGTAGGAATATAGTGACATAGAGTGTAGTATTTGCATCAATGTTGAGCAATTAACATGAACATACTAATGGATAAATTTCCTGGATTTTTCCTATCAAATATTAGAATCATGTTTTCCATCTTTAATATATTAGTATGTAACAATATATATTTCAGATAGGAATTATAACCTAAATTATTTTTGGTAACAGGTGGTAATTATTTGGTAGATTATTTGGTATATATTTGGTAGATATCTCAATATTGAGATATAATTCATAGACCATAAATTTGCCCACTTAAATGTACAGCTCAGTGGCTTTTAGTATATGTTAAAGATTGTACAACCATCACCATAATTAATTTTAATGTATTTCCATCATTCCTATAAGAAGTTATCCCCCATTCCCTTATTCTCCCCATCCAGCCCAGACTGAGGCAACCACTAATCTACTTTTAGTCTCTATATCTTTGCCTCTTCAGGACTTTTTGTATAAATGGAATTATATAATATGCAGTCTTTTGTGACTGACTTTTACTTTGCATATTATTTTCAATGTTCATCTACACTGTGGCCCATACCAGGGCTTCATTCCTCTTATTTGACTAAATTCTTGAAAATTCAAGATGCAGATCTTTTAAATGCCTCTGTTAATAGACTATTCTTTAATAATTATACTTCCTTTTCAGTTCTTCATTGTTGAAATGCATAGGACATATAAATACATTTCATAATACAGATGCAAACATTGCACATCAAGTCACATAATTCAGTCTTTAATTAAAATGAATATATTTATCCTCTTAAGGGATCATGGCTGTTTGTTTAGTTGCTGCTGGATATTA